GCTCCAAACGCCCTTGATGGGGATTGTGGTGCCCTGTCTTTATACCTTCTTCTCTTGTGCTTCTTAAATATTTGATGGGTGGCTTTCTGCCACAGGTAACTGCCATTTGTGTTGACTAGACACAGGCCAACAGCAGCCTAACCTACCAATTATAGTCTAGACCCTCCAAAACTATAAAACTATAAATGTTTTTCTTTATAAAATAATTATCTTAGGTATTCAATGATAATAACGAAACACCAACTTTATTTACATAACCAAAATTAGTGCCACATAAAATCACTATGTCCATGATAGAAGTATAGGTTTGCAACATTGTATTTAGTAAAGTGCATTGGATATTTGTTTCCTTGCAATAATATAAACATCTTAACACTCATGATAATTGATTGGTACTATTTTCAGAAGACAATACACTACGTGACTTTAGACTCACACATACATACATGTACCTTTTATAGTTTCGTTATCATTTATGCTGATATGTTTATTTTTACTTCACAACTTTCCTGAACTCTTGTCTTTTTCCCAATACTATCAACTCACTAATATTGAAATGTGTAGGTATGACACCTGCTTCTCCCAAATTCTCCTAAGTGCCCAACAAACCTAAGTAATTAGCTTTATTAAGGACATTACTGTCATGCCATTTGCTCACAATAAAAATTAAAAAAAAATCTAATTTGCAGTGACTCCAGGAAAGTCACAGAAAGAGGAGGAGGATCTAATCCATGAGATTCTTCCTTTATTTCCTAAGCCATACATCTGTGTCAAGTGCCATTCTGAAACTTTATTTATACTGCACTGAAAAAAATTCAGTAGTTGTTTTTCTCAACATTTTTTACTCTCTCCAATATATTTTGTTTAAAAATAGAAAAAATAATAAACTTCTATTACTCTTAGTTATATCAGTAGTATTGTTTATTTTCTAAGCTGGATAGTTTTTTTCATTCTTTCATTCTTGTAGATATTGTCACAAATTTCTCTCAGCTTACGGGTTACCAGATAAACCTGCTTTATCTTATAAGATTTAGTGGAACAAAACTTGGCAATTTTTTTCTTCTTCATTTCTTCCCTCCTTTTATCTGGCTCAGTAATGTTAATTAAAATGCTCTTTAACTTTTCCTTTAATTTTTGACTTATGAGCAATGTATCACCTTGTCTTTTACAATGGATTTTTTTCATGTGCTCAGTTCATAAGTAGTGATGTCAAGAATCCTTGCTAGATTAGCTAATTCTTGCTATTACCCAGAATTTCTTATAGAGACACAAACATTCAATCTTGCATACACAAGCAATATGATATCCAAGCATGCACTTGGAATATGTGCTGACTGAAAGAAGGGAACCTCAATGAGAAAAATCTTCCATTAAGACCAGCTGTAATGCATTTTCTTAATTACTGATTGCTGGGGGATGGCTTAGTCCACTGTGTGTGTTTCCGTCCCTGTGCTGGTGGTCCTAGGTTCTCTAAGAAAGAGAGAGCAAAGTTTGAAGAGCAAGCCAATAAGCAGTATCCTCCATGGACTGTATATGCTCCTTCCTCGGGGTTCCCACCCACTCTGAGTTCCTTCCCTGACTTTCTTCAGTGAAGGACTACAATGTGGATGTGTAAGCCAAGTAATCCCTTTCTTTCCCAAAGCAATTCGAACACAGTGTTTCATCGCAGTAACAGACCCTAAGGCAGTGAATCTAGATGGTTCACTGAAAAGAAACCAACCCTGTACTTGCCTTCTTTGTCTAGACTGCTTAATATCTCTCTCTTTTTTTTAATGTCCCTTTTTGCTCTAAAATGTGTTTTGGTTCAGGCCTGGGAGATGAGCTTCGAGCTTTTTCTTGGTTTTTACAAAACAAAACATGGTATCTGTGTATGACAGCATTGCCTAGATGATCTGAAGTAAATAATGCCTTTCGGTTTTTAGGAAAATAATCAGCTTAGGCATGCATAGACAGATTTACATTTAAAGAAGATATATGATTGTTTTAAGCATATAAATAATATAGAACTTAGTTAGGTCTAAGGTTTTCTGAGTAAAAATACTTAAAAGGGAAATAAAATAGGAATTTTGGATCTAATTGTATACAATTAATGTACCATGACTGCGTAAATATATTATTATTTTTATCTTCCAGTTCTGTGTCAGTGTTATCTAAGACCTATGTTGTTGGTTATAGTTCAGCATGTCTTAATGATCCCCACAAAATGACTATAGGAAATGGAAGACCTGCCAAAGAAATCTGTTCTCCCATCAATTACTTAACTTTCTGTCAGAAATTCTTCCTTCCAGGAAAAACATAATTTGAAAAGCTAGTTACTCATGAAAACAGGTTTATATGGTTTAACTCATTACATAAGGAAGATTTGTGACAACATCTGAAAGAATAAAATAATGAAAAAAAAACTCCTACATCTTAAAAAATAAACAAAATTAATGATGTAGCTAAGAACAAGTAAATTAAAAGTTTTGAAAAATTTTAATGGTCCTTTACTAAGAGATCTTGATTCTGTAGTTGACTCAAAAAGTACTGTAATGAGTCTAAAACTATGAATTCAATTATTTCAGTGTTACAAGGGAAAAACCACATCTCGACATATTTACCCTTCCTTCCTCAGTCCACGAATCGGTCCATCTGTAAACCAGGAGAGTGTTAGGAACTCTTATTCCCAATTTCCATACCGACTCTGCCCTGTGCTGCATGATGGTCATTTTTCCTAAGTATTTTCAAAGTCTGTTTTGTTTGTTGATATAACCAATTTTATTTCCTTAAAATTCCTTTCATTGATGTTTAGTGGTCTATTATTTTTTTAAATGCAACCATCAGACTTTCCAAGTCTTTTGAGACTAGCATCTGTCTGTTGATCTTTTCTGTGTCCTAAACGTTCAAAGTTCTGAACTGGGAATACAGCAGGAAGCAACAAAACCAAGGGTCATCTTACCCTAAAGCAATTTACATTGAATCAGGCAGGCTCCACTATTTAACTGCATAAACATGGAAGGAAGTAACTTCACACATTAAAACGTGTCCTAGGTGCTCTGATAACTAGCGTGTCCAGACAAAGCCCTGTTGGTTAGATGCACAGGGTCCAGTCATGACTGAGGACTTGAGCCCTGTGAGGTGACCTGTGAGAAAGCTGATGGCAGAGGGCTCTCCTTAAGCTAATCCTCAGGCTGGTGTGAGGCAGACATGGACAGCAGAAACCAGAAGAAAATGATCGCAAAGGTCATGGAACACAAAAGAAACTTTTGTTGTTGTTATTTCTTTGTTTGGTTTTCTTATTTTCTAGCAACATTATAAAAGTAATTTTGTTATAGGACCTGGTTTAACAGACCCTGAGTGTTTGGAAACAGCTCACCAGGTGTGGATTGACCCAAAGGTTGCATCTTAGATATGTTTAAAAGATGGCATTGATACTGGTGTAACTATTTTCATACTCTTTCATTTTAGAAGTTTTATTATTTAAAAATATTGTGAGAAAGTACAACTTAGTGAGGTGGTTCTTTGTTCCTATACTTCAGTGAGTCAACCGCTGTCTCCTACCTTTCATGCACCATGGAAGATAGCCAACCTATCCACAGAAAGCCGTTACTCTATGTTTCCAACTTCTCTCCTCTGTTCCACCACCAATCACAGCAATGGGCTGGGAATCTACAGGAACATGAAAACCAAAGCATCTTTAAATGGTGAGGACCAAGCAGCAGGAATGAAGGCATGGACAGTCACATATGGCTTTAAAAAGAAAAAGCACATGACTATATCAGAAAAAAAAAATGAGCATTTTAATGTCACTGACAGCTATCAGAAATAAAATTGAGTCAATGGACATTTGTTTTCATAAGAAAGAGTTTGTAAATTCATTTTTATGTCATTCTAAACAGCTTTGGAGAACAAGGTGGACTACACTAAGTTTGTATTCAACAAGGCTGATGCTGAGTTTAAAGAGAGATAGTAAGAGCAAAGAAGCATTCAGAAACAGTAGAAAATTCTGATGAGCTCGTTAATGTCATCGAGGTAAACCATGGGAAGAGCCTGGACTATGGGAGTGGGAACACAAGGAAGTACCAAGCAAGATTCAAGGTGGTGCAGAATATTTATAAAGGTCCAGACTGAGGCTTCCTCATAAGGGATGGCCGAGTAACTAAGTAATCTGGGATGGATGTACCCAATAAAGTTCATCCTTTTAATGTCTATAGCAAGGTGGGGAGTGTGCACTTGCTCCAGATCTCTCATTAGTTGCCTCATTTTGTTTTTTATTCTATAGCATTTTCGGTTTGAATAACAAATATGATGGGGGGTTTTACATTGATAAGATGAGTCTTGCCTATTCATTTTGTCAGTGTATTTAATATCTGATATTGCAGGTAAAACAATTTGTGTTGAAAACTTGCTCCTAGTAAATGAGGGGTACACAAAACCTTCCACCCACACAGTTCTTACTGATGACTGATTCATGCCTTCTACTAAGGAATTCAGCTTCCTTCTCTTTATGTCACCTTGATAGATACAGATGAGGTGGTTCCAATGTGTGACTGTCTATGCAAATTCACAGGTATATAAGCTGTATTAAGAAGAAATCAAAAAATTAAGACAACTACTTTTAAAAGTAAAGACTTTAGCCCACTTGCCCCCAAATAAGGCAACTATCTAGCTAATTAATTGAAAGGATAATGTCAAGGTTACATTTTCTTTCAATATTTCCTTCTTTGTTTTTTTCTTTGCTTTGTTCTGCAACTACCATACTCACCATATAAGTTAGTCCCTTCTAGAATGATTGTATTCTAGGATGGTGATGTACATCAGTGGTAGATTCCTTCCTGACATGTTTGAGGTGCTGTGTTTGGTTATTCCTAATAATGGTTCAAATTTTCTTCTTGTGTTATTCTCTTATTTTGGTACCCTGCCTGCTTAATAAATTATTAAATATTGTTTATTCTTACAGTATCATATGATGCTAGTTCTGATATTTTAAAAAAATAAAACCTAGTGGCTTATTTTTCCAGATAAGATTTCTCTATGTGGCACGGACGGCGGCGGGCAGAAACCGACGCACGGTGGGCGACGCAGTTGGTGCGGGCCGGACCGGAGGGTACTGACACAGTGGCAGGCAACGCAGGCGGCAGGGACCAGCACAACACTGAGAGCAGATCGCCCCAGGACAATTAAATCAAAGAGGTAGGCCTTTGGTTGGCAAGGTCCCTGGCAAACAGGGAACCTGGTTCTTTTCCTGAAGACCCGTCTGAGGGGGGAGAGGGATCTTGGCCCCTAGCAGGAGCCAGGAAACAGAACGAGGGCATTTTGCAAGAGGAGCCTCTTTCAGCAGGGAAACCTGATCTGGTTTTAAAAGACCAATTAGAGAGCATCAATAAGAGGAGATGGGCAGGCGCCAAGGCAAAAATTCACCCAATAACCTGAAAAACAA